ACTAGTCTTTCTTTCCTAAAAAAAAATTATAGCTGTCTAAATCACATAGCTTTTCTCCGTTGATCATGTCTCTTGCTGTCTTTTCCGCACATGCATTCTTTTAGCTTATCTTTCTCTGCAAGTTTCTGTCCGTTCATTCACCCACTTGCCCGCCTACTAGTCCAGCCATCCCTCCTTCGGCATCTCCAGTCATTCCCTTACCTATCTAACTCTCTGTGTGTCTGTCTGTCCGTTCAAGACCGGCTTTAGTTGACAGGCCGTGCTGCTGGCGTCACCAGGTCGGGCTAACAAAAAATAAACTATTTTTGACCATGGCTAGGAAGGACAACTTAGATTTTTAACTTTCAAGTATCTACATTCCTTCTTTATTAATTTCACTATTTTAGGCGACTTTTCTTGATTGTTTTCGTGGCTCCCCTAGCATACGCTAACGGCACCCCAGTGTGCTTCGGCACCCAGTTTGAGAACTGCTGCTTTAACGCATCGTTAGCCCGACCCGGTCACGTTAACAGCACGGCCCGTCAGCCGGAGCAGGTCGTAGTCCGTTCATCTTATCTAATTATTTTGTCTGTCGGTGTCTGTGGCTTAAGTGTTGTCATCGCGCTTCGTATTTCCAATGCTCTGGGTTCGATCCCAGCTGCGGACTATTCGGCAGCTGACCGCCTTGTGTTGTTTTTGACATCGGTATCGAGACCTGACTGTTCCAAAGCTGTGGCAAACTACTGAACGTAAAATTGCCTAGTGAAATCACAAGCAGCCCAAAAATGTATATCCATGCGCAGACCGACTTAACAGCACTATACGCCCCTGAGGAAATCAGTGTGCTGGGGCCCCTGCGACAACCGCACCGTGGAGCGACATTTGGGGCCAGACACTTGACCTACAAGATTAGCATAGAACCCAAAGCTTGTGGATCTCCCCGGCAAGTGCCCAACAAGCTCATGCGTTGAGACGGCTCTTTCCCACCACCAGATGACAAAGGCCTGTTTCTTGTTGTTTTCTGTTGCCGTCTGACAAAAAAGACCGCACAACATATTTTTTTTTTTTTTTTAATCGTGATATATAGGCTAGTGCATGTCCTATTCATCCTCTTGAACGAAGTTTTTCGCCAGGGACACAGATGAGTATCGTCTATTTTGTACATTAGAGTCCTGTGTAGTCACTTCTTAATTGAAGCATATTTGTGTATGTGTACTGTGTTGTTCTTTATGTGCTGATGAAGGCTAATCGCCGCAACGTCCTTTGTTTGTTTATTGTGATCGATTTTGTAAAGCTAACATAAACAGTTTGTTCTTTGTTCTTTCTAACCATCTTCATCTCTTCCCTATAATTTCCTACACCTTTAAAAACACTGATAGCCCAGTGTCGTGGTTTTCTGTGTTTGTCTGGCGCTTCTCGGTGGCTCTCGTGTGATGGATTTGTTCATTTAATTGCAGGTTTCATCTACACCATTTATCCATCTCTTTCTTGGTCTTCCCCTTGCCTTCCTCCCAGATGTTATACTGTAGAAAGTCACATATGCAGTTTGGTCTGGCTGCATTCTCACTAGCTGGCCGAACAATTTCATTCTCTGTCAATATAATCCAGACATGGTCTTGTTCCAACTGTCTCTCTAATGCTGGTATTCGCAACCCTGTCTCGTCTAGTGTTGTTAGTGACCTTGCCGAGGCAGCGCATTTCACATGTAGGTATTTTCTATTCTAGTGTCCTACTCATTGTCCATGTTTGGCACTGATAACATAAAGTTGTGATAAAGATGCTATTAATCATTTGCTGTTTTGCTGAAAGGGAGACATTTGGGTGTCTAAGCAGTGTGACTAACTGGTAGGTGACAGCATTAGCCTTCTGTACTCTGGCTCCTGTTTCTCAGTGGAGTCTGCCGTCCTCTGAAATGACCAAGACCGTCTGTTGGTGACTTCTGCTACCATCAATGATGAACTGCATTTCTAATGTCGGGACTGTTTGTTGTGTGAGCACTTCGGATGGCTACCGTATGCTTTATTAAGAGTGTATGTTAGATATGCTGAAACAGCAGTCTGTCAATCTTTCCACAAGGGACTGTGATAAACATTCTGTGTGTTTTTCGTTGGCACAGGAGTGGAGCAAATATGTGGTGACCCGTTTGCTATGAAGCTGAAACTAAGACTACCAGACGACCAGACCAAGACGAAACCCACTTTTCTCTTCTTCTTTTTTTCTCTCCATTCTACAACGCGGAACGCAGCATGGAAGCTAAAAAGACAGCTGATGCAAAGTTAGCAAAGGCTGCCAAGCCAGTGGCTTGAAAACCCAAAAAGGAAGGCTCTGTGGGAAAAATAAAAAGAAGAAGTGGTCAAAGGACAAAGTTCGTGACAAGCTCAACAGCTTGATCCTCTTCGACAATGCCACTTACGACAAACTGTACAAGGAGGTGCCCAGCTACAAGCTGATTACTCCTTCTGTGGTGTCTGAAAGGTTAAAGGTCAGGGGCTCATTGGCCAAGCAGACACTGAGAGAATTACATTCAAAAGGGTTGATTTACTTGGTGTCAAAACACAACTCCCAGTTGATCTACACAAGGGCCACCAAGGGAGACAAGGATGAAGCACCAGCAGAAAAGTAGTGATGTAAATTAGCCATAGTAACATCTTAGACACAGCAAAACTTTTCCGGAGAATGTTATGAGTTAGGACGTGTGCTTTCTTAACGAAATTTGAATGATAGGCAATAGAGAACATCATAGAAATTGGACAAGTAAGAGACTGGGAGAAATTATGCTGGGTGGTCTAGCTGTGATGTAGAGCAGAAGTGAATGTTGACCCTGAACATCAAGGATCTAGGTCTGAGAGCATGTATACCTGCACCATCTTGTGAGGCACTCACGAATGTAATAATAAAGTTCACAATAAAAAATAAAAAAAATAAAACCACGTTTCTCGTTCCGTTTCCTTGCAACATGACAGCTGACCTTCCCCAACCCGTGCACGGGCCAACAACAGTGCCTGGTCAGTTCTTTCACAATTCTTTCACTTTTTTTTTTTAATGCAGCTAGACAGGCCCTGCTTTGTTTGTTACAGCAGAGTTGCTAAATGGAGCTAGCTATCCATTGGTGTCTATTTGCGGGGCCGCTTATTTGTGCACAGTCAATACATGTCCGTCGCCATTGTTCATTTTTGTTGTTGATTTTTAAAAATAAACGAAGTAGGGGACAGCGGCGGTGTGTGAAGATGTGTCGACAAATGGGAGGGTTTCATGGCAGAAGGACAAAACTATTTGAATACAAATGTGGCTGCGAAAGAATTTGGAATGAGATCACAGTTCGACAATGAAATTGCGACGTGGAGCTTACAAAAGACAACCCTTTGTGGCGGGATTTAGCCACACGCACGCGTATAACCTCCCCGGCGCGGTGACATGAAAACATGGCCTTGTGCAAAAGAGCCTGCATTGGTAATTGTTCTGTCTGCATTATTTCTAAATGACGAAACCATTTGATCTCCTGTTTCTCAATACATTTGCTGCAGGATGTTGTTCCTACAGTCTGTCTGATAATATCTTTTCTAACTTTGTCATAGGTGGTTAAGTTGGTTGCTTTTCTCGGGCACCTCATTTCATAGGTGTTAATTTTACGTAGGTTAGCCTTTGATAATGTCCAAGTCTGGCACTGGTAGCACAATATTGGTATGAATATGCTATTTATAATCTGTTTCTTGGCGCTCATCATTATGTTAGGATGTCTTAATAACGGTGTCAGTTGGTATATAAGTGCACTGGCGCGTTGGCATCTTGCAAACGCACAAACACACTGAGAATAATGAGGTTAATAAACTTTGACAACAACCCAACATATAACACACCTAGAATAGCTGGGAGTTATCCCTTTAATCGGGTGAGTTAAAATTATTTCACCACCCATATTATTATTGCACACTTAACAGGGCGTAAAGTCCAGAAGATTGCTTACCACCAGAACTTTACATAGGAGTTTACAGCTGGTCTAGAAAAAAAAGACAAAGTAAAGATCATATTTTTCATTTTTTTTTTATACAGCTACCACTACTACTACTACTACTACTACTACTACTGCTGCTACTGCTGCTGCTGCTGCTGCTACTACTACTGCTGCTGCTGCTGCTGCTACTACTGCTGCTACTACTACTACTACTACTACTACTACTACTACTACTACTACTACTACTACTGCTGCTGCTACTACTGCTACTACTACTACTACTACTACTACTACTACTGCTGCTACTGCTGCTGCTACTACTACTACTGCTGCTGCTGCTGCTGCTACTGCTGCTGCTACTACTACTGCTGCTGCTGCTGCTACTACTGCTACTACTACTACTACTAATACTACTACTACTACTACTACTGCTGCTGCTACTACTGCTACTACTACTACTACTACTACTACTACTACTACTACTACTGCTGCTGCTACTACTACAACTACTACTACTACTGCTGCTACTACTACAACTACTATTGCTGCTGCTGCTACTACTACTGCTACTGCTGCTGCTGCTGCTACTACTACTACTACTACTACTACTACTACTACTACTACTACTACTACTACTACTGCTGCTGCTGCTGCTGCTACTACTGCTGCTACTACTACTACTACTACTACTACTACTACTACTACTACTACTACTGCTGCTACTACTACTGCTGCTACTACTACTGCTGCTGCTACTGCTGCTACTACTGCTGCTGCTACTACTACTGCTGCTGCTGCTACTACTACTATTACTACTACTGCTGCTGCTGCTACTACCACTAATACTTCAACTACTACTGCTACTGCTGCTGCTATTATTAATATTGCTTACACTTCTGATATTACTACAACTACTGCTGTTCATAATACCGCTATGACTGCTACTTTTACTGCCACTGCTTCTACCATCACCACCACCACTGCTGTGGCTAATTCTCATGCTGCTGCCTCAACCACCTAGTCTGTTAATTCCACCCCATCACATCCTGACTGTCTTGTTATCTCCCAGATGCAGGAATTCGGTTGAGTTCTCTGTGAACGCTGCCTGGTTACTAAGTGCCTACTCCGCTGACACCCACAAGCCCAACTGGAAGAACTCTCAGGGCATCAAGTTGCGGGATATGATCCTCAGTGAGGACCTCAGGTCAGGGACAGTCTTTCATGAACTTATTGTAAAATAAACTCTGAATGTTTTCTGTTTTCTCACTTTCTATCTCTTGTGTTTTCATTTTCTCACTTCCTACCTTCTGTGTTTTCATTTTCTCACTTCCTCTCTCCTGTATTTTCATTTTCTCACTTCCTGTCTTGTTTGTTTAGGCATTGGCAAGGTAATATCAGCTTTTAAAGCCTGAACAAAATCTGGAATTATATTATTTTGAAACCAAGTTACATATTTTGACAATGTTAATTTAGTTTGAACATACGCCGCACAAAGTTGGAGAGCCACTAAATACATAGCCATGCTTTTGTTTTTGACTTCATATATATAATATGCATATTATTACATGAATATAACATGCTTAATTGATAAAATACAACTGCTGTGTGAAAGATGGAAGTTTGGAAGGGCCGAATGTAAGACAGGCCTGCGTGCCTAATTTGTAACCCTTTGAAAATAAAGTTCGTTCGTTCGTTCGTTCGTTCCTTGTGTGGTTTCCAGGAAAACAGAATAGACCAACTGACCATTCTCTGCCCCATTCTGTTTAGATTGTAATGACCTATTTATACTTCCACTCTGTTTACTCACTCCCAAAAGGCCTTGACTACCTCTTGCTTGTCATTCATCATGTTATCACCAAGTGGTGCAGAACCAGCCAGTCTGTCTGCCTGTTCACCTCCCAACCCACCTGATTGTCCTGCAGAAAATAATGTGGCATGAGTGGATACTAAACATCAGCATGTCAACATTACTGGCTCATGTCAACATTACTGGATCATGTCAACATTACTGGATCATGTCAACATTACAAGATCATGTCAACATTACTGGATCATGTCAACATTACTGGATCATGTCAACATTACTAGATCATGTCAACATTACTGGATTATGTCAACATTACTGGCTTATGTCACATTACTGGATTGTCAACATTACAGGATTATGTCAACATTACAGGATCATGTCAACATTACTAGATCATGTCAACATTACTGGATCATGTCAACATTACAGGATCATGTCAACATTACTGGATCATGTCAACATTACTGAATCATGTCAACATACTGGATCATGTCAACATTACAGGATTATGTCAACATTACTAGATCATGTCAACATTACTGGATCATGTCAACATTACTGGATCATGTCAACATTACTGGATCATGTCAACATTACTGGATCATGTCAACATTACAGGATTATGTCAACATTACAAGATTATTTCAACATTACTGGATCATGTCAACATTACTGGATCATGTCAACATTACTGGATCATATCAACATTACTGGATCATGTCAACATTAGTAGATCATGTCAACATTACTGGATCATGTCAACATTACTGGATAATGTCAACATTACTAGATCATGTCAACATTACTAGATCATGTCAACATTACTGGATCATGTCAACATTACAGGATTATGTCAACATTACAAGATTATTTCAACATTACTGGATCATGTCAACATTACAGGATTATGTCAACATTACTGGATCATGTCAGCATTAAAGGCACTCACGTGGATATACTACAGATATATGTAGGAGTGCTAGATAATGAAAGATCTGATTTTCTGGCTACAAAAGCAATAGCTACCAGAACACTCATACTTGACAAGGGAGACATTATGAAGACCATTTATTAAAAAAATGCTAATAGAAGAAACGAGATTAGGTGAAATCAAAGGTGTAAGAATGGGGGAATGAGGAATTATGTGTGGATCAGGCAAGGAGGGACGGATGAGAGGAAGAGAACAATGTAAGTATAATCAGTGTCCTACAAGAAGAGTTAGAATCTGCACAGTAAGACATTTGCTGCGGGAGATGGAGCATCTGTGAGTATGCCTAGTGCCCAGTCTTAAATCAGTAATCAGTAAACTCTTTCACTCCCAAACAATGCTTAAGTGTTACTGACTATTCCTGACGTGTCTCAAACATCACGCAATTGTCTTCTTATATTTAAGTTTTGGTCAGTGTATACTATATAAATCTGGCAACCACATAGGTATCTTTTATTTCTACAATACACATGGTTAGAATTTTGTTGGCAGCATTTAATGCATAAAATAATATATTTTTTTTAGCAAAACCTTTTGGGACCAAAAGAGTGAACTTCTGCGATGATATGTTAAAATGTAGCTGTCTTATATTTGTCTCATTCTTCTGCGATGATATGTCAAAATGTAGCTGTCTTATATTTGTCTCATTCTTCTGCGATGATATGTCAAAATGTAGCTGTCTTATATTTATCTCATTCTTCTGCAGACCTCAGACCAAGATCTCCCACAGCAGGCCCTTGACCCACATTCACAGGCAGACAGCTTCAGGGACTGGGGACAAGGACATCAGCAGCCAGACTCCCCAGCCACTTCCTGTGGCTCTCAGTGGCAGCAGTCAGACCTCCACGGCCTTAGACCTGATGTTGTCTTCACTTCAGGAGAGCCATGTGTCAGCAGGGAAGAAGACCCACCAGCGCTCACTCTCAGAGACAGCAGGTGCCATTGGTTAACTAACTTGTTACGAGGGTCCTCAAATGAAAACCTTAAAAGTGTGAAGAAATTACATAAATGCCATTGTCTTGTAACCTGGTTAAGAATGTCAAGAATGTTAACTTGTTCAGTCCAAAACTGTATGTGATGTGTGATTAGCTTTTCTGTGAATCCTGCCCAACATGTAATGTGTTCTCATATATTTTCTGTTTCATTTGGCTGTAGCAGACCTCGCAAATCCAGCTGCCCTGGTATTTAGTTTCATACAAGGCACTTTTGGGTTTTTTCATAATGCTTAGTAGAGCCTTTGGTAAATCTCCTTCCCCGTGTTGTTTCTAGGGCCCCATTGAGGGGAAAACATGCGTGTCGTAAGAGTAAACTAGTTGAGGGTTTTCTTCGAAGTCAGAGTACACCTGCCTGATGGGCAAGGAACCAACAGTCTGCATACAGAAAAGCCAGGTTTGTAAAGTAGATGTGCATGCAAAACTCAGGTCCCGGAACAGGACTTTAGTCCAGAGATGGATGAACAACCAGAACTTTCTGCTGGAGTTTACAGCTGGTGAACACGAAGAAGAAAAATAAGAGGTAATCTCCTATGAAGATTCTGGTACTGAAGTCAAACCTATCTCCTTTTTCCATTCACCCCCCACCAGACAGCTGTCCTTACCGAAGTGACCTGTGGTATTGTGTAGGTTTGTCCAAGCCATCTACATCTTCTTCCTTGGATTACATTTGCCACTGATGAACATTTTGTTTCCCTTGTATTGTATCACTTCAACACCTCACGAATAGCCGGCCCAACTTTTATTTTTGTGCTGGATCTCGTGGATGTTCAAGGCAATTTTCTTCTTCTTCTTCGCGTTCACCGGCTGTAAACTCTGGCGGAAAGTTCTGGTTGTTCATCCACTTCTAGACTGCAGTCCTGTTCCAGAACCTGAGTGTTGCATGTGCATCCATTTTACAGATCTGACTCATCTGTATGCAGACTGCTGGTTTCTTGTCTCTCAGGCAGATGCAATCCAACTTTGAAGGAAGCTTCCAGTTAGTCGACTCTTACAAAATGCTTTTGGGTAGGCAGTGGGTCTGTTCTAGTTTTCCCCCACAATAGGGCCATGGAACCCACACGGGGAAGTTCAAGACAATGAGCGTGCAGATATCTGGCAGACACCGTGGTTGCTGCTACTGGTCCTGGACTTGAACAGAGCAGTGTCATCAGTGCCATGCGCAGCACTTACCACAAAGACGAATTCAACAGAATTCATGGCTCAGTATGAGCCATCTCTGTCAGCATGAGACCCATCCCTGTCTTCATAAATAAACAGAGGGGGGCCCTTGAGGCCTTTAAATATTATACATTAATAAAGTAACATTCAGTGTATTGATCGGCACTCATAGAAAGATAGAAGAACACACTAGACATCATAAAAATCGAAAGCTATAGTTACTGTGCTGGGAATCGAACCTGTCACCCCCAGACGGCGTGTGCGCCTATGGAAACAAGTGCACTAAGAACATGCTCAACCAGGCACCCCCCAAAAGGTGTCTCATTGGCCATTTCTATCGTACTACTTGAAATCCACAACTATGGAATACGGACAGAATTCATTTCCAACCATTGAAATGGCCTCATATGTTACAGAAATTTATATTAACGGAGCATAGGTGTTGACTTGTGGGTGCAGCCTGGAACTGCGAGAAATCATCATTTCACCAAGGGCACAGTATGTTTGATTAATCAACACTGAACAGGTGTGATCGGTCATTCTACCTTATAGAACTTTTTGAGGAGTAGGTTGGTAGGTTAGAGCAACTGTGGGTCTCTTCAGAGTGTCGTGATGATTACAATTTGTACTATGCACTAATCAACTAAACAATAATGTAAGACTGTTGGCAATATTTCATGTGATATTTTACTGCTATCTACCAGGTCACATACTGAAGCACAGTGAGACTGTGCCCACGATCAGCTACAGCAGTGCTAGTCAGATTGGGGATCTGTCCACTGGGCGAGCCTTCGACAGTGGCTGTCAATGCTACAACAAGTCAGAGGCAGTGTTCAATGACTTGAAAGGGCTGGAGACATTGTGTTGTTGTGAGGTTAGTTTAGTGTCTGTCTGGTGCAGTTGACAGGATTTACTGTTGAATGTTCCATTTGTAGTCCGTTTCAGAAGTTCTGCCCAACTTTAAAAATCTGTAACTCAGTATTCGTTTGGTGTACGTTGTTTAAATTTGGCATGCTACCTGTTAATAATCATGTCCTTGTAAGAGGTGTAAACGAACATCCAGTTTTAAGTTTACCTTATTTGCAGCATATCAACAAATGTACACTGATTCAGAGAAAACAGTCAGCCTGCGTACAGTTAATTGAGTAATGGAAACTTTTCAAAACATCAGATAGCAAGTTTTTTAAAGTGTTTCACTCTCAGGTAGTCTCCACCATTATAATCCTGTGAGTTAGAGATTTTTCATTGTATCCGCGATAGCCATCAGAATAATCACCACGCATTGGTGCACATGTAAATTGATTTCCAAACTATCTCTACATGTGTGTCAATTACTGTCTATGTTTTAGGGGTACAGAAATTATTAGTCAAACAAAGATCAGAGAGATTTCCTGCTTTTAGAAACCAGCAGCACCTGTGCAATTGTGAATTATAAAATCATCAAGGCATGAAATCTAAAGCCACGTCAGAAATTTGTGTTGATTCGTACAGGCGTTTTCAAGATATTTCTTAAAAGTGTGACGGCATAAGTTGTGAAACTTACTTTAATACATGACCTATTAAGTGCTGACTGTTCTGTACAAACATTGCAAATGTCTTAGGAGAATCATGTGAACCTTTTAGCCCAGCAACATGACAGATAAAGAGCTGAGGAGTCAAACAAAATGTTTGTGACTGGCAAATGATATGAAGGAAGAAGATGGAGATGGCATGAACATGTTTGCAGGATTTCTTGTGACACTTTGGCAAAGATAGCTGTCTGATGGACAATAGATGGAAAAAGTAGACATGGAGGACCTAAGGAAATCTTTTAAAAAAGACAGTAAAAAGGTAAATGAAGGAATGTAAACTGACAAGGGAGACCGTAGGCAGAAAAGCACCAGACCATCATCAGTGAAGATCATCTGTGAAAGCTTTATGTAGCAACAGCAACATCAAGAAGATATAGAAAGATAACTATATATCCATTTTGCACCCTGATAATCGTATTGTAGTTTTCCTTTGTTTTGTTTTGTGTGTGTGTGTTAAAACTGTTTAGTACTGTCAGCGTCTGTGGCTTATGCGTTGTGAACGAGCTTCGGGTGCCGGGTTCGATCCCAGCTGCGTGCCTTGCGTTGGTTCCGACAGTGGTATCCAGAAGCCGACCATGCAGAAAGCAGTGGCAAAGTACTGGACGTAAACTTGCCTAGAAACACCAAAAATTGCTGGTGTTTGTTCTGCAATGTTCTGTGTCCTTACTTATTAACTGCTTTAAGATTGTACCCACAAATTGTCTTGTTCATTTGCAGAAAAGAATTAATTAATTGTCCTGCTTTGTCATCAGTATATGTCACATAGGGCCCGCAGTCTATTCCTCCATTCCATTATACTCTGTACAATCACCTCTAATATCATGGTGGGAATCCAATCCAGCACCTTTGGCCTCCTTCATCAGTGTTTGATTTTGGGTTCCTTTTAGACGGCCTTGCTTCCTCAATCTCTTTATTTCCCATTTTAATGCCTGTCTGGTGAGTCTCTGCTGGTTTCTTCTCAGGATGTGTCCAATGTAGTGCCATCTTCTCTGTCTTATAACTGTTGAAACTAGTGGCTGCCCAGACATTTCTCTTGTTTCTTCATTAACTAATTTCCTCAGGAATTTGTTTGCATTCAACTTTTGTTCCATGTCTTTAATGATGTTCCAACTTTTACTGGCTTGTGTTAAAACTGAAGTAATATTAGATGTGTCATTGTAATTGAAAATGTGTAATTTGGTTTTAAAACTATACAGGTTAGAGTTCCATATTTGTTCCCTTTCATCAGGCTCCAAGGTTGCTACCAGAAAATGAGTTCATTAGATGCCTATTGAGCATTGGTAAAAAACTGCAGGCGTTGCCAACAAAGGAACAACGAAGTAGGTGTACTTTGTTTCATCAGTATAGTTTTTTTAATGGATTGTTTATTGGGAAAAGTGTACTTTGTTTCATCAGTATAGTTGCATAAATGGATTTTTTATTGGGTAAAGTGTACTTTGTTTCATCAGTATAGTTTTATAAATAGATTGTTTATTAAGAAAAGTGAATTTTGTTTTATCAGAAGAGTTTTATAAATGAATAGTTTATTGGTAAAAGTATATTTTGTTTTATCAGTATAGTTTTAGGCAGTGCTTTTCCCTCACCACAAAGTTTTTAACAAAGGTGTCGTATCCACCACAAAGTTTCTAAGAAAGGTGCCGTACCCACCACAACATTCCTAAGAAAGGTGCCGTACCTACCATGAAGTTTCTAAGAAAGGTGCCGTACCCACCACGAAGTTTCTAAGAAAGGTGCCGTACCCACCACAAAGTTTCTAAGAAAGGTGTCGTACCCACCACAAAATTTCTAAGAAAGGTGCCGTACCCACCACAAAGTTTCTAAGAAAGGTGCCGTACCCACCACAAAATTTCTAAGAAAGGTGCCGTACCCACCACAAAGTTTCTAAGAAAGGTGCCGTACTCACCACAAAATTTCTAAGAAAGGTGCCATACCCACAGGAAAGTATTTACTGCAGCAGCACTGGGAAACAAATGAGGCTTAATCAATGATGGTACTGGCTGGTGAAGGCAAACAGAAACAAGCAGACGTGTACAAACTCCAGCCAGCCCAAGGATAGAAATTCTTCTTCTGCCTTCACCTTTAAAAGGGCAGTTGGCATGTTATGTTGTGGTTTATAGCTAGGCTGTGATACTTGCAGCCAGACACATCCGATTGAGATTACTGTAGAGTTTGTGCTCTGAGCCGAGATTCTCCTCATGCCACATATGATTATTTGTGAAATGATAAATTAGTGCCATAATTTGTTGTGTAGTGGTAATGCTTGAGGTTGTTGTTTCCACAGCATCTCAGCTGATAGCGGACTTATCTTTGTTGAACCTGAACCTTCCGGCGAGAGTCTGGCTGCCAACATCCCATGCCAGAAACCACCACGTGGTTCGAATCGCTCACACACAGTCTGTTGTCCTCAATTCTAAAGAGAAGGTAGTTACCTCTTTTATTATTGATGTCAAGCAACAGGTTTTAACCATGAAAAAGATTTTCTCGGTCGTCTGAACAGAACAAACCAAGTCACAATCTTTCATTTACTCACTGAACGTTGCAGAATCAAGAGGTCATAATTTAGGTATGAGCCAACCAGCTCTCTGTCAGTGTCTTCATGTTGAAAACTCGGAACATGTCTTGCAAGACTGTCCTCTCCTGAAGGAGCTGCGCGGCAACATGTGGCCATGCCCAGTCGACCTGAAAACTTTGGAGAAACCTAAGAGACCTTGAAATGACCTCCCAGTTTATCAGCCAAATTGGATTTAGTGCGTGACCTGAGATCGCTGAAGAAGAATATTAATAGGAATAAACTCACAGGGAGCAAGTACAGCAGGGATCTACCAGTCATCAGTAGAAATTATCCTCGTCAACGAGCGTTTCGGCCCACGATTCCTAGACGCTTTCGGAGGTGGGCCCACCTGAGTTCATGAAGCTCAGGGCTGGTACCCTGCTGCACGAGATTACCGGATGGTGTTTTTCTTTCGGATAGGGACAAGACGACATGGTGGTTTCTCAGAAGGTACTGTGAGATAAGAAGTCGTGACGGCAGCCTAATTAGAACAGTCAGCGTGCCTGGACGACCGAGCGACAAGCTTACGTTTGGTTTACCGGACACATGTTGGACTTTTGTTAGCAGGTGGCAGAGGATCACTGGCAGACAATTCGGACACGATGGACTTTCAAGGGGTGAGAAACTCTTTTCCACTAGACACCCGGACCAGCTCACCGAGGCCCGTCCCCTACGTTGTTGCGTTGCGTCCAAAGCCAGCTAGAGGCCCTTTCGGCTACCTCTCCCAGTTTTTTAAGTGTACGTTTCCGTTCATTACTGCGCAATCCTAGTTCTTTAACCACATTGTAGAGCGAAGTGGAAACGAGGCCTCTCGCTCCCACTTCGACGGCAAATACCCGTACCGTGTACGCCTCGTTTCTCCTCAGACCGGCTGCTAAATCACTGTATTTCTCTAGCTTATACAGGTGATTTTCATCCATACGCGACTCATACAGGACGGTCAACTCTATCAGGATGAGCTGCCGTTTTTGCGCAGAGTGGAGGACTATGTCAGGTCGCAGACCGGTCTTCCGGATTAAATGTAAATCCATGTCACAGGAGGTTACAGAACGAATTCTCACATGCTATAAAGAGCCAGTTTTGAAGTATGGTTTTGAATACTGGACAATTAATAAACAAACCAAACAATTTCTTGAGGTCTCTGAGATGTGGTTATGCAGAGGAATTCTTAGAATTGCTTATAAATCCAAAACAAGTATCAGAGATGGAAGAGCTTGAAAGCCAACTTGTCACAGACATCAGAAAGAGACAGTGATCACTTTTCGGTCACATTACGAGAAGAAGGGAACTGGAACATATTGTGACCACTCGGAAAGATCTGTATAAAAGTCCCAGTGTGGGTTTCATGACCTATTTTGGAAAGGGGGAAGGGGGGGATAATCCACTCCCTATCAAGCATGTCAAAAGGGGACTAACTAGGGATTTTTCCTTCAAAGTCGACGTATCTCTGCTTGAGTGGTCAGGAACCAGCAGTCTGCATACAATTAAGCAATGCAAAATGATACTTGACAGCATGTTGTCATGGCATGGGTGTCAGCACACAAACTGATACCTGCTGTTGAAGATTATGGTCAACCAGTCTTCAAGGCACTTGATGATGATCAAGCATTGGTGTAAAGCAGGAATGCAGCAGAAAAGACTGGCACTGAGCTGTTACACCAGCGGTAAAACCTTTAGCCTCTTTGGATCTTTTCTTTGAGATATGCAGGTGTGTGGGGGAACTAACAGACAGCAAGATTGGCTGGTGTTGCACGACTGGGTGGTGAATTGACGCATGACAAGCTAGATTTGGTCAAGGCCCTTTGTGAGCAAGTGAACAGTGCAGAAGTATGAATAGATTATCATAGAGGGTTGAGAGATATGGTGCTACAGGAAGTGACTAGGGTATCTGGCAGTCATTCCACACAAAGGAGAGGCAAGACGGACATATCAGACTGCTGTTGTTACCATCAACAGTGGAACTCTTTGCTGGCTGCTGAAGATGATGGAGTACTTTTGAGAAAGTACTGAGTGCTATCAGCAGCAAAACCAAAAGCCCTGTGCTGTTTTGGTTTCCATTGATACCTTGTTGTTTCCACAGCATCTCAACTGATAGCGGACTTATCCCTGTTGAACCTAAACCTTCCGGCAAGAGTCTGGCTCCCAAAATCCCATGCCGAAAACTACCACATGGTTTGAATTGCTCACACGCAGTCTGTGTCTTACCTTGTTGACTAAACAGCACTTCATATGACAGAAAACATCGAGCGAACAAACTTAATTTTTCAAGGTCACAAATATGGCATGCAGGCTTGTCTAACATGCTTCATTGATGAAATACAACTGCTGTGCGAAAGATGTAAGTTTGGAAGGGCCGAATGTAAGACAGGCCTGCGTGCCTAATTTGTAACCCTTTGAAAATAAAGTTTGTTCGTTCGTTCGTCTTTCATTCGGCCCTCCCAGACAAGTATCATTTATATAGCAGTCGTGTTTTCGTCTATAAACCATGTCATGTTTTCATGGCTATATACTTAATGTGAATAGTAAGCAAAAAGACATGCCGGGATGATAACTGTCTATGTATTCACATATACATATATGCATACATTCACATATATATCCAGATATGCATACATAAATTGACATGTGCATTTAAATATATATTGAAAAATGCAAAGGCAGATGCACTCCAGCTTTGGAGGAATTACCTGTAATTAGTCGCATAATTACAACATGCTTGTTAGGAAAGCAGTGGTGCAGAGTATCTGAGAATTACAAAAGCATTCACAGCCCCTAAACCACAGATGAAATATACGCATGTACATTATTGACTGAAAATGTCAGTTAAAACTGGAAAGTTAATGATTAGTGTTATTCCGCAGGCTCCATTCATGGTTTATGTGGAGGTGCTGGCATGCGACAACATGAACACCAGCCAGGTACCCAGCAAGATTCTGGAGAACACCCTGCGATACACCCGTTCTGAGGAGGACCTATCTCGGTTTACTCAAGCAACAAATGGCTCTCCTCGTCCCGAGTTTAGTGTCTACGGTACTTGCCACGATTTTGACGATGCAGACTGTTGGTCTCAGGAGGACGATGAGATCATTGCAGTAAGTTTTTGTTATGCATCTCGAACCCAATTGACATCGATAGAAAGCAATCGTTTGCAAATCTTTGTTTCCTGAGCAATGTACAATTTTTGTACATTTTATCAGAGGCTAATTGCTTTTCACTGTTCCACAGGTCCCATTGTCAAGTGCATTTCTGTGCTGGAGTTCGAGCCTCTGGCCATGACGATCCCCATTGCAACATTCTGGTCTAATGAGGAAACTTAGTTGAATAGCCCAGGTGTACACAGATGTGAAGCCAGGGGTCAACATCAGCTTGGGGCATACACAGAGCAAAGGAGAGGAATAACAGTTAAAGAAGATGGGGATGCTTACTAGGTACCTACATCAATCATGGCCATGGAAATAACTGTCGCCTGCAGAGCACTTGCATGGGAGCAGTACAAGCAGCCACACACAAGGTGATCCTAGCAGATCCTTGAACTTCAGAAAATGGCAACCGGCAGCTTCCGCTCTGAATGGGTAGACAGTATTAGGAGGTCGAGTTTAAACTCTCTCACCTGGATCTACACACCTGAGCGTGCCAGAGTAAGTGGTAAATGCTGGAGTAAGGGGTAATGAAAGAGCGGACCAGCTGGCAAAGTAATGCACAATTGCATGTGGGTAGAAATATAGACAGAAACGATTGCATCAATACTGCACGGACTAGACTAGTGGTGGACATTGACGAATCTTTGACGCTAACCAGATTACATGACATGGAAGTAAAGTCTTGAGAGGCCAGCCTATGCTGTCTTCGAGGTCAATACAGGAGACCTTTTAACCAACTTCTTGTGCAAACAATATGTTTGCCACCTTGAGTGGCTGCTGTATCACATGGAAAGGCCTAGTGTACAGGGAAGTAAATTGTGATAACATACTTACTAACTTAGTGGCTCCTCTTCTACCTTGGGGTGTAGAGGTTTGCCAGAGAGATCGCCAGAGACGTCCCTATCAGCAGTTTTCTTTCTGGCTTTGTTCCATTCCAGTCTTCTGTCAGTTAGGGACTGTCGGATATTGTCTTCCCAGCAGACCCTGGGCCGCCCTGGAGGTCTGGTTCCCTGGTTCTTCGCCTCCCATGCCTGCCATGGTGGCCGATTTTCTCCCATGCTGCATACAAACTATCGTAACTGTGACTGATCCACTCGGGTTTGTAAGGACTGGGTATCAAGATCTTGGCGTATTGTCTGATTACGGACTTTGTCCCTTCTTGTCACTTGGACCACATTTCTCAGATATCTCATTTCCGAGGCCTGCAGCTGGCTTCTGTAAGCTGTTGTCATTGCCCATGACTTACACCCATAGGTAAGGACTGGTGTGATGACATAACAAAACAACATAATTTCTGCATTCTTCCTGTGAGAGAAATTATATCACCTTATTATTCATCTTTCTGGTAAAACCTTTTTCTAGTGGCGACTCCATTTTTTTTAATAGAGTCAAAATGACCCACAACCATGTTCATTTTCCACAATTATCACACACATTGATTTTTCAGTCAAATGTAATTCTTTTCTTCTTCTGCCTTTCTATCCCCAATGGAGCATAGGCCCTCAACCAACTCACGCCAAGTCGTTCTATCCTTTGCCATTGCATGGAGCTCTCCCCATGTCCTCCCTATCTTTCTAGCTTCATTCTCCAGATCTCTTCTCCATGTGTTTTTTTTGCCTTCCTTTATTCATATGCCCCTGTAGGTTCCAATGAATAGAAAAATGTATTTAAAATGTAATTATTAGGATTGTTTGTTTTGTTTTCCCTCTTTAAAATTCACATAGTTCACCATTCCCTTTGATCCCACAGAAAACCTTCTAGACTACTTTTGGGTTTGTGAACCTTTATGGAGATCCCAGGTAATGGTCTCTCATAGGTAGAATTTCTTTCCTAACTGTTTGCCTGGGTTGTGTCCTTATGGCCTACTTGTAATGGAATAGACCACAATTGTTGTTTTACATAAGTGTCTGATAATTGATGTTTGGGTTGTTCTCTGCCTGGTTTCAGTTTGCCAATCGCTGCCGATCCAGTGACACAATCTCACAGTTGTCGACAGAAAGTTCAGCCAGTGCCGATAGCAAGGATCCAGTCTACATTGCCGCTGGAGATATCCGGCGGCGCCTGTCTGAAAACATGGCTGCACCGAAGAAAAAATTTGAGGTACTCTTAGTTTCTGAGCTGTACAAATAAAGGGCTAATTTCTACACTTTGAGATGTGTATATGGTGCCGATTCCTATTTTTATTGACCAGTGTGTAGTCTTCTTCTATGTTTGTCCTTAAAAGGGTGGCTGGCATGGTGTGTTGTGGTGTACAGCAAGGCTGCGATATTTGTGCTTTTTGGCCCAACACAAACCCCTGGACCTTTTACAACATGCTTGTCTCTGGGTGGTAAGATTTGACGCCCATGTGTATTGTTGCACACGTTAAAAAATACCTTGGCAGTTGGAAATCGAAAAGAGGACCCTAACAGCGCTGCCCAGACAAAATTTGGAGTTCAAAATCTACCGAAAGTATTTTTAGCATCCCCGCCGGTGCGACAGAGTTCTTGCACTGTGCTGAGATTCCTCAGGGAGCACTCGTGGGTTACACCTGTGTGCCTTGTTGATCTGTTGAATGGACATTAAACAATATGCTTGTTGTGGGGGGGGGGGGGGGGTGAATTGATTATCTCCACTCTCATGGCGAGGCCCTGGAACCCGCGTGAGAAAATCTGTACTCACTGGGTAATGCTGGTCGCCTTTACTTTCCATAATATTCCCTGATACTCATTTGGGCTGGACCAGTTTGTGAACAAAAATGCCCTGCTTAAGGGGAGTTGGGATTCTATGTTCCCCAGGCCAGTAGGTGAACATGTCACAGTCATTGTATCAACTCTGCTCCTAGTTTGGCTTTGCAATCTGGGTAAATGATGCGTTATTAATCTAAAAGATAATGGTAATACCTTCTGGCAAATTTGAGCACATTTTGCCAGCTCTCAAGGGTTTGACTTATCAGTAAAGGAATGATCCAGTACTTCAAATTCCCCAAAGCTGACATAAGAAACCAGGCATTAAACTGTGGTATAATTTACTGTTTATATCTACATTATCTAAAAATTGTAATATTGTTCTTTTTGTAATTTTGCCAGCGGGATCCAGATGATCCATCAGCTGCTGCTCTCAAGGAACCCTGGCAGGATAAAGTAGCCAGGATACGAGAATCGTCACCGTATGGCCATCTGCCCAACTGGCAACTCATGTCAGCAATAGTCAAAGTTGGAGACGATTTGCGACAAGAACTTCTTGTCTACCAGCTTTTGAAGAGACTGAAGGTGAAAATAAAAATATTCTACTGTTGGTTTATGTTTTCTTCTTCTTCTTCTTCGTGTTCACTGGCTGCAAACTGTGTAAGGAAAATTCTGGGTATGCATCCACCTCCAGACTTTAGGCTTGTTCCATAACCTGAGTGTGCGTGCATATCTGTTTCACAGATCTAGCTTATTTGTGTGCAGACTCTTGGTTCCTTCCCTTCCAGCAGATGTACTTTGACCCTGAAGGATGCCCCCAATTAGCTGACTCCTAGGACATGCTTGTTGGGAAAGCGGTGGGTCTATTCTTGTTTTCCACACAGCAATGGAGTCCCAAAACCCACATGGGAAGGTTTTTATTTTAATTTGTCACTACATCATGAAGCTACTTACAGCCCAGTACATTTACCTACAGCCCAGTACATTTACTTACAGCCCAGTACATTTACTTACAGCCCAGTACATTTACATAAAGCCCAGTACATTTACCTACAGCCCAGTACATTTACCTACAGCCCAGTACATTTACTTACAGCCCAGTACATTTACTTACAGCCCAGTACATTTACTTACAGCCCAGTACATTTACATAAAGCCCAGTACATTTACCTACAGCCCAGTACATTTACCTACAGCCCAGTACATTTACTTACAGCCCAGGACATTTACCTACAGCCCAGGACATTTACCTACAGCCCAGTACATTTACTTACAGCCCAGTACATTTACTTACAGCCCAGTACATTTACCTACAGCCCAGTACATTTACTTACAGCCCAGTACATTTACTTACAGCCCAGTACATTTATTTATTATTACTGACATATTATGTCATTTTTTCTTCTATCAACAGACATAAATTCTCATGTTTTGAAGCTCCAGAATTACGTGATTTATTCTTCTCTTGCTGCAGATGTTTTGGGCCGAAGAGCGCCTTCCACTCTGGATCAAACCGTACAAAATTGTGGTAACATCCCGGGACAGCGGAATGATTGAGTCTGTCCTGAATTCAGTCTCCCTGCACCAGATCAAGAAGCACAGTAAAATGTCGCTGCGGGACTACTTTATTCACGAATTTGGCCCAGTCACCAGTGAAGAGTTCCTCACGGCCCAGAAGAACTTTGTTGAGAGCTGTGCCGGCTACTGTTTGGTGTGCTATCTGCTCCAGCTCAAGGACAGGTCGGGTTTGTCTTGTACTTTCCACTGAGTGTTTATTCGTCATCATCTTTTTTCTTCTACTTTCTCTTCTTTTTTTCCCTCCTTCTTTTTCTGTTTTTCCTTACTTTTTTCTTTACATTCATTGACAGTAAATTCCTGTGGAACGTGCAGGTTGTTCTTCCACTTCTGTTTTTGTTCCAGGACTTGAGTGTTCTTGCAGATCCATGTTACAAATCTAGCTTATATAGACCACGCTACAAAATCAAAGTCAGATCTTGAAAAAGCTAGCTTCAGTTGAAGATTTTAAATCAGAAATAGTGGCTCTGCTCAGTGACATAAACAACCAACAAGACCAACGAGGAATATACAACATCAAGGATATGGGACCTCCCAGACTGGACAGAAAAACAAAAGAAACTCAAACTCAGAAGCCGAAGCCAAGACCAGGTGTCAGAGACGGAGCAGTTGTATCAAAGAAAATGAAAACCAAGAAAGAGTTGGGGTTCTTTAATATCTTACCCCAGATGATGTCACAGGACAGTCCTAACATTTTAGAGGGGGGTAAGACTGGGTTTCCGACGCTTTAAACGACCCTAACACATCTAGAACTGGCCCTTAATCCCAACCCACCTATGTCCCGCAAGAGAGTGCAGCCTAGGTCCCACGACTGCATGCAGCCTATCTACCACCCCCTGAAATATTAGACTGTCCAGGGACCTGTAGCTTTCCCCTGCTTGGGGTAGGATATTAATAAAGCATGAGAGTTGGTGAAACAGTCCAAACAGACTTTAGATAAATGGCATGAGAATGCAATGAAGACTAGCAGCTTACAAATTGTATCCAACGGAAGTACAAAATAAAACACCTGGTCCAGAAGAAAATAGTTCAGACATGTTTACAAGATGCCACGGGTGAAGCACTGAAATCCATCTAAAGTTTACTGGCCATTGAGTGAAGGCTAGTGATGTCGGATCCTGGTGTCTGAAATGTTGAAAGAAATGTCTGAATCATGCCACGCCATGATGTTGATTTAACTGTGTGTAGTAATGCACCTGATGAGATACCGCGCAATATGCCAGGCAGTAAATTGTACTGAGAGAAGAAATACAATCTGGAAATAAAGTATACTATGCCCTTCAACATCTGCTAAAGTGTCTGCCTCGCAACACCAAGATCAAAATATATAAAACATTGTTTAGACCAGTCGTGTTATATGTCTCTGAAACCTGGAGCACAACTAAAAGAGATGAAGCCTTATTACAGGTTTTCGAAAACAGTCTTACGCCGAATCTTTGTACCCATCAAAAATGTAAACAGCGGTGAACGGATAGTGAGAAGCAACAACAAAATTCATAATCTGTTTAAATCACCACTGATCACTGGCATCATGAGAGCTAATAGACTGAAATGGTTGGAGCATATTGAAAGAATGTAAAATGACAGAGAAAAAACAACTGTATACACAAGGGAGATAAATGGTCATTGACCACGAGGCAGACCAAGAAGACGATGGAGAGATTATGTCCAGACAGACCTGCAAACAACTGGAAAGAGAAGGCCAACCAGAGAGATGAATGGATGTGGGTGATATCTGCAGTAATGAACCTCAAGGGCTCGGAATGCTGAAGAAGAAAAAGAAGAGTAAATTGTGCAATTTGTTGTTTCTCTTCACGTTATTATTTAAAGACCTGTGAGTTTATACAATGCTTTTCTCTTTTTTTTTTTTTCATTTGCAGACACAATGGAAACATCCTGCTGGACTCTGAAGGACACATCATTCATATCGATTTTGGCTTCATCCTGTCTATTTCTCCTGGCAAAAACTTGGGCTTTGAGAACTCTCCCTTCAAGCTGACCCACGAATTTGTGGAGGTAATATTCTTCTTAGAGTTCAGTGACTTTAAACTCCAGCGGAAAGTTCTGGTTGTTCGTCCACTTCTGGAGTTAAGTCATGTTCCAGAACATGAGTTTTGCATGCTCCTTCATTTACAGATGCGGCTTACTTTATGCAGACTGTTGGTTCCTCACCACTCAGGCAGGTGAGCTCTGATATCGAATGAAGAATCCCCAACTAATCGCTTTTACACCATGCCACCCCCCTCCCTTTCCCTCGAGGCCAGGAACCAGTACACGAAGTGGAGGATCCCAGAACCCCATTTTTGAGAACAGAAATAATAGACAAACACCTCCCCCTGCATATCATAGGAGGCGATTGATTAGGCGTGTTTCCATCGGTTCGGTCAGAGTTTCTGAGAGGCAAGGAAACAAGCAGTCTGCATACAGATAAGCTAGATCTGTAAAACATATGCACACACAAAAGTCAGGTCCTGGAACAATGCCAAAGTCCAGACAAGGACCAAAAAAACTGGGAGTTTACAGCTAGAGAAAGCAAACAAACAGCAGCCTGCTGTTCTAGAAGTTTCTACACAGAAAGATTAGTTCTGTGGATGTAGACATTTGAAGGTTTTGTAAGAATGCCAGTTATCTGTGGATAATGTTCAGCAATTTGACACAACGCTGCAGTCTTCAAGGAATTATTTAACTGTGTTTTGTCTTTTCAGAATGTATGATTTCAGTAATAATGTACAGTAACTGTGTTTATTTCTTCCTGAGTCAGTTGTTTAATTTCCCCATGTGGGTTCTGGGGCCCTATTATAGGGAAAACAAGAATAGACCCGCTGTCTACCCAAAAGCATGTCATGGGAGCTTTTGAAGTCGGAGTGCATCTGCCTGAGAGGCAAGGAACCAGCAGTCTGCATACAAATGACTCAGATGTGTCAAAACGGATGCACGTGCAACACTCAGGTTCTGGAACAGGACTGCGTTCCAAAAGTGGATGAACAACCAGAACTTTCTGCCAGAGTTTACAGCTGGTGAATACTAAGAAGAATATTTATTTCATTCTGTCTGTGACAAAATTCTTTTTTTTTTCAATGTTTCTTCCTTCCTGTGTCAGTTGTGTTTCATTCTGTCTTTGACAAGTTTCTTTTTTTGTTTTGTTTAAATTTGTCTTTAAAAAAGAAAACTTAGAATATTGTAGTATTGTTTCTTGGTCCTATTATACCATTGTATGCCCTATAGGATTTACAGTCTGTTTCTCCATTCCATGTCTTATCTTATGCAGTCACTTTAATATCATGAATGGAATTGAGTCCAGCACTTTGGGCTTCATTCATCAGTTTTCACTTTAGGTTTTGTCTTTGGTGTTCTCATTTGCTAAATATGTGAACAATAAATTTATACTAGGACAATCCCCCCCCCCCCCCCCCCCCCCCCCAAAAAAAAACCTTTAAAAAGAAAACTTCATGTCATATACACAGCATATGGAGTTTCAAGGAAAGACAGAATACGTAATCAGACGAATGCTAGGAATAAAGCCAGTCTTACATTTCATCAAAGACTAACAAATGAAGTCGTTTGGACACCTAACAAGAATGCCCTGTTACTATCTGTCACAGCGAGCCACACTGAAATGGGTATAGAGCGAGTGGAAGACCTCAGAAAATATGTAGTGATGGCATTAAGAACAGCCTCACAGAAATGAACATCTGTCTTAATAGTGCTCTTGACAGAGCTCATCAACGAATGTTACGTCTCCCCCCGAAACTTCGATGAGGTACAAGATGGAAGAGAAGAAGAAGATGATATACGCAGTCACTAGTCTGTCTCTGTGTGGTAGTTGAAGTAGACAGTGTTTCAAGTGTTCTCTCTACTGTAGGTGATGGGCGGGCTGGGCAGTGACATGTTTGAGTACTTCAAGATTCTCATGCTGCAAGGTTTCGTGGCCTCCCGCAAACACATGGACAAGATTCTGCCCTTGGTCGAGATCATGCAGACAGGTGAGAGATAATGTTGGTGTCTAGATGTAGAATCTAGGTGAGCTGTTGACTTTGTTAGAATGCTTGCAGATGTTAGCAGCTTTTTTTCCTGTGTGGGTTCCGGCACCCAAGTTTTCGTGGAGGAAGAAAAAAGTATAGGTCAACTGCTGCCACACACACACACAAAAACTGTGTGTTATTAAGTAGTGGCGTCTGTGGCTTAGGCTTTGCAAGTCCGGCTGCATGCCCGAAGTCCCTAAATGTGTAAAAAGGGATCTTTACTTACTTTACTATGTCATTAAGTAGGGGTTTGCTCAGATTTTACAGCCTTGCTGAACTACAACATAATGTACCTGCTGGCCTTTTAAGAGCAAACGTAGAATTGTTATTTAGCTTTTATTGAGAGAGTGAACGGTGTCGAGCCATGAGTAAACATTCAGCTATTTTTACTGAATTTTCAGAATTCACATTTCCCTAAAATGTTAAGCCTCATTTATAAAGAGAATAGTGTTGGATCCTGCAGTAATATTTTGTGGAAATAATTAGCTTGATTTCTATACAGAATGCATTTACATTTAGTAAATTAGTTGCGTATCATTTACAGGATCTTTCAGAACTAACCCTAGCATTTTGGGCTGTTGTATTTTTTCTAGACAGATTTACATCCAGTAGTTTGCCATTGCTTTCTGGATGATTGGCTTCTTGATACCACTGTCAAAACCAGCGCAAGGCCCACAGCTGGTATCAAACCCGGCACTGCGAAGTGCGCTCGCAATGCCTAAGCCACATTAACATTTAGGTTCTGTTATTATGTAAATTCTTAAATAAATACAGTAGAACCTCGCTTAATGAACACCTCGCATAACGAGTAATTCGCATAACGAGCAAAACAAATTGTAAAAAAATGACTTGCTTAACGAGCGACGTTTCACTTAACGAGTGGCGAGGAGAGGGAAAGTCCAGAATTGTGCGCATGTTATTACATCAGTCTGTGTTTAGCACTCGTTCCAGTAGCATCGTAGTGTCACTTGTGATCACACATTTTCTCAAACTTGTGTTATATTGTGATATATGTACATGAATCCTCCAGGCTTGCAAGATGACCTCTCTAAAGAATTTAAGTTTATCGAGATCCAGTTTCTGCCTCCCAACACCACTCTGTTACTCCTGCCCATGGATCAGCAAGTTATTTCTAACTTACAGAAGTTCTACACTAAAGCGCTCTTCGAGCATTGTTTTCAGGTGACTGGAGGACCTACCTCACTCTCAAAGAGTTGAAAAAAATCACTTCCACATCGTTGCCTGCCTCAAGACAAGGCGGGGGAAGGTTACCAAGAAAACCCTAACATCTGCTTGGAAGAAGCTTTGGCCGGAGAGTGTTGTCGATTTGTGACTTTGAGAGGTTCGAGACAGTACCTGTGGAACCTGTAATCAACAAGATTGTGTCTTTGGCCATATCACGGGATTAAAGGGGGATAACAGTGATATCGAAGAGCTTGTGGAAGAGCACAGCCAAGAGCTGACCACCGAAGAGCTTATGGAGTTGCATTGTGTGTCACAGCAAGAAGTTTTGGAGGAAAGTTTTTTAGAGGACGAGGAAGAGGTAACAGAAAAGCAACAATCTTCTGGCGAAATAAGAGAAATGCTGAAAGTATGGCAGACTGTTGCATCTTACATTGAGAAGCATCACCCTAATAAGGAAGTGGCTATGCGCGTTGCAAATTTATTTAATGATAATGCTGTGCCTCATTTTCGCAAAATTTTGAAGTGTCGGCAAAAAATATTGTCTCTGGACATCTTTCTAGTAAAAAAAAATGTATCTATGTATCATAATTATGTCGACTTTTTTTTTTTTTTTTGCAAATCGAATTCGTATTCCAGGTGGGTTCGTTCCGCGTTTGAAGAAAAGATGAAGATGATTCACCCTTCTTAACAATATGTAAATAATTTTCTTTGAATAAACAGTATACATAGCATTTTGTGAGAATATTTTTTTCGACACGAGATGCATTATCGTATTTTACATTAATTTATGTGAGGAAAAAGGGTTTCGCTTAACGAGTATGATTCTGGAACGAATTATGCTCATTATGCGAGGTCCTACTGTACTGTGTGATATCCTGGGTAAACATCTAAATTAAAATATATATTTTCAAAGAGAGCAGTTGTTCTTGTGTTAGCTATGATCTGTGGACTGCTCTGTTTTTAAGACCTGTCACTGATGCAGTTTATCTATATATATAAAAATCAATGTTTGTGTGTTTGTTTCACCCCTATAGACTCGGAAACTACTGAACCGATTTAGCTGAAATTTTCAGGATATGTTTGTTGTGATACCGGATTTTGAACTGTCGTGGTTTGAAATTCAACCTGTCACTGTTAGAGATAGGTGACCACAATATATGCCAAAATATACGCAACTAATATTTATAACTTTAGTGATTTCTAATTATAGCCACGTTAGTAATTGCGCATGCGCCGTATTTACCATTCGCCGGCGAGTTACGTGCAGCCAACGCCTTCTCTAATACTAATACATAGAGTAGGTCGTGGTACAGCAAACAAGACTATCTCTATATTTGCCACAATAACCATATTAAACACGATTTCTATTTTCTGTTGTTTTTTTTTCAAACAACCTTCGATGGGGAAGGGGGGGGGGGGCAATCAAGGACTATCTCGACGTCGGCGCAGACAGTGACTGCGACATTAACCGTGTTAGACACGTGCGATTTCTATTTCATTAATATATCTGGAGTATCTATCTACGAGAAAACAATTGCCTGCGGTTTTGAATTGTGTTTTAATCGCGACACAGTAGTATGGACTCACATGTCTAATAGTTGAGTTCTCTTTTCGTTGTTCCGATTAAGTGGCTGCTTGGTCGAATGGTTAGAACACTGGGTTCATGTGCGGTAGACCTGGGTTCGAATCCGCAGTCGTTATTAATTTTTTTTTTGCCCCGGACTAAAATAATATCCTCATCTGCTCTGCCGTGGTGACAGCACTAGCCATGTTGCCTTAATATTTTAAAAAAAAAAAAAAAAAAAGTAAATGGATAAACCATTTGATAATTAAATTTGACCATTTCGCATACTTATGATTGCATTTTTAAACTTTCCGATTGCATGGTTACGCTGAAATTTTATAGATTTTCATTTATTTTCATTTAGATTTAGTTATTTCATCTGTGTTGGAATTTTAAGCTGTGCTGTTTACAATGGCGTTCATTTCCTAATTATGGTGTTTTTTTCCTGTGTTCGTTTGCTTTTCAAGTGTTTTTTTTTCCCCAACTACTTCAATGAGGAAAGAGTTGTCGGTGAATTTTGGGGGGGGGGGGGGGGGGGGCAAACTATTAACTGAGAGAGCTTTAAGTCACAGTAACTGCTTTAACCCCACCCACTTAAAGTAGCAGCAGCAGTAATAGTTGTTACACCAGGGCTGCTACACCATAGTGCTCTCATGTGAAGACCGCAGGTTAGGTTATGGCGTTCTTCTGTCGGCAACTTTCTGGGTTAATAAATGGAATGTTTGGCTTATCTGTTGCCAGGTTCCCAGCTGCCGTGTTTCAGCAAGGGTATTGCAGCCATCCGAGCTTTCAAGGACCGGTTCCACATGTCGTCCACGGAGGAACAGCTGCAGCTGATAGTAGACGGCCTGGTAGAGTCTAGTCTGCACTCCTTGACCACCAAGCTCTATGATGGATTTCAGTACTACACCAACGGCATCTTGTGAACATGTCCACCTCCTGCTTCTTCAGCGATCTCTGGGTCTTATGTGCTTAACCACTCATGGATCATAAACTGGGATATCTTCGGTTTCCCAAAAGCTCAGCTGTGAGGTCTACTGCGCATGACCACATGTTGCTTTGCAGCTCCTTCAGGAGAAGCCAGTCTTGCAGGACATGTTCTGGTGTCTGCCCAGCATGAAGAGACACTGGCAGAGCTGTTGGCTCTAACTAATTTATTTGAGTATTTTCTTGTGTAAATATGTCCAAGATTTTATCGTTTATTTTATTTAAGAATTTATGGTCCAATGTCACCTTGGCATCCAGTCTTTATTTCATGACCAGTAAATCTCAAGGGACTACAGTGCTTCCCTGATGGAATTGTGTGAACGTGACCACGATTCAGACATTTCTTTCAACATTTTAGACATCACTAGTCTCCACTCGATGGCCAGTAAACCTTAAATGGATTTCACTGCTTCACCAGTGATATCTGGTGAACATATCTGTCATTAAGACTTTTCTCTCAGCATGTCAGACGTCAGAATTTGACATCACCTGGGCATTCGCGTCTTCATTCAACGGCCAGTACATTTATGATAGGTTTTTTTTCTGCTTTACCAATAATATCTTGTGACTGGGACATATTTTGGTAACAACTTTTGTTTTAGCAGCAGTGCCATAGCCCTGACATTGTTACACATTGAGTTAACTCTTTAAGTCCCAAGGAACGCATCATACGTTCATAGATTCCTACCTAGAGGCCCAATTAACATATGATGCACCGATTTTACGTCTCTTTACTACCCCTTGGGCCTGTGATGCTAAACTCTCTGGGACTCAAAGAGTTAATAACATGAACTTTCCAAGACGGACTGTGATGAAGTTTGGAGGGTCTGAGCATCACAGTGACAGTGTTAACCCCTGATATTATTGTTACCTTTGTGCATCACGACTTAAATCACATTTCATGTGTGGTTTACCGATTACCGTCGGCTCTGTGGCTAAGCCGATGCGAACCCTTCGTAATGCCGGGTTCGATCCCATCTGCCTTGTGTTGGTTTCGACAGTGGTATCATGAAAGCCGATCGTCCAGAAAGCAGTGGCAAACTACTGGAAGTAAATTTGCCTAGAAAAACCACACAACAGCCAGGGGCTGCTGGGGTTGGTTCTGCCACGTCCTGTAAAGGACACGCAAACTAACCTTACTGATTACCAATTTAAGAATTGACATCAAAACACACCTGGCCCACCCACTGACGACACCTCTCTGGCAAAAATTGTGTGGATACTGGCTGTTCCAGTAGCACATTGGTGGTACACGTATTGTACCATCTGTCCCATGTCTTTTCTTGACCTATCCAAACAATTTTATGTGTGGATAAACTACTATCCAGGTCTCGGTCTTCTTTTAGTAGTTTAAATAAACATAAGAACCTTATTCAAATATCCACATATGGACTTTAATCTTGTTCCAGACCTCGAGTTTTATGTGCACATCTATTTGACAGAGCAAGCTTATTTGCATGCAGACTGTTGGTCCCTTGTAGATGGGTGCAACCTAACTTTTAAAGAAACACTCCTACTTTGCCACTATTACAGCATGCTTAGAGTGATGTGGGATGTACTTTTCTAGAATGGTTCTCCAGAATCCACACAGGGACATTCACTCTTTAAATTTTTATTTTATTTTAAGCTTTAGATGACGGATTAACATCATGGCACAAGGGGTAACTTCCCATTCAAGTCATGAGATTCTCAACGCAGTGTACCAACTCCGTAGCACTGCCGAGGATCCTGAAATGTTTTGGGTAGATTTTGTAATCTAAACGTTGCTTTAGCAGCGCCGTTGGGCTACTCTTTTTGATTTATAACTTCAAAGGAAATTTTTTTTAAACCTGCGCAAAAATTCACACGGGCATCCTTTCTTACTACCCAGAGACCAGGGAAAATTACTGCAAGTACTCCAGTACTTGAGGCAGACGCCATGCCTCGAGACCATGCAGCATATTTTTTTCACATTAAATAATTTGTTTCTTTGCATTCTCCCTACCAGTAATTTTCAGACAAGAAGGCAAACCATCCTCTCTGAAGGTTCTGGTGGATGCATGTCCTTTACTGATTCTGTTGTGTTATTGAAGATATCATTTGCCTGTCTTCCATATTTACTTTTCTGTCTTTCTTTTTTTTTAAGTACACCTGCTTTTTTCTTTTTTAAACTTGATAAACATTCCTGCCTTCCCATTCTGCCTAATTTATACTCTGGCATTTCCAACCCCCCCCCCCCCCCACTTGATAGACCTTCCTTGTCTGCTCAGTACACTTTTCCTTTTTACAGGTGGGGAAAATGAACTAACCTGCAGTGTGAGAAACATTGACAAGCTGCTGGTGGAACAGTTACAATGATGGGCTCTCAAACTAGAGACCCGGGTTTGAATCTGACAGCTGGGTCAAGGGCAAAAAATCCTTAGGCTTAAAGATGCCACCTCCCAAAGTGGTAAAATAGGCATTGACTGGCGGTAGGTTCAGTAGCCCGGGCGAGTGACAACCTTTTTTTTTAAACAGGATGGCCAGTAACTATTTATGCTGTAAGTATAGACCTTGACAACAAATATGTGTAAATTGTGGCCTCAGAGATATGTGCACTAGTAACAGAGGTAAGTTAATGAACAAATGATGGAATTATCACAGACAGATATTGTTTACATGCACTGACTAATAATATGTGTACAGATAACGCCAAGAGTGTGATGATTGATGACATTAGCCAGAATGTCCAAGTTTGATTATAAGCAGTGTTTATAGGACCTGTAAAATCAGGGAAATTCCGGCAGTCCCCCGCTTACTAGACCCAAATTAGCTGCTTTAAAAAAATCCCGTTCAAGACCTAAAGAGAGCTTCATTAGTCTTCAGTATACAGTTGTAAGTATTCCCCACCTGTCTGTGGTGTGGGTGACCAGTGTTTGATGCCCAGTTTTAATGCTTTTGGTTTACAGCTAGGCTGCAATATCTGTACCTTTCACCCAAACACAAAGGATTACAGCAAAGTCCTAATCAGTCACCCATTACAACATACTTTTTAGGTGGCAGTTAGCCACATAATTTATGGGTAATGGGAGCAACGGATCAGAAATTTCCTCCCACTGTGCTTTTTTAATGTATCAAATTATTCCTCGCTACAGCTTTTACAATACATTGAAACATTGCTATTTATCGAGCATTAATGGAAACTGATGTTTTTTGCTACGTTGTGATTAATTTGGGACCAGTATTCAGAAGAGTGCCAAAATTCCTTATGAAACAGCAAGGTACAGCGCGGCCGCACATACAAGGGGTTGCATCCAGCGACCTTCAAAAGTTGCAGAGCAGTTCTCCCAAAATAGGGTATCTGTCATAGCATCAAGGTCGAAGGGATGCAATATCTAAATTACCCAGCCAACCTGGATACTTCAAATAGAAGGAATTGTCTCACAAAATTAGATTTGGTACCTAGACAGACTAAAGGGAATCTTAGATTTATCCTTTCATAATTGACTTCCCCCCCCCCCTCCCCATGAAATGGGTACAGGGTAACTGCAACGTTGACCACATAACCTATAAGCTAGTTGGTCTGAAATGTGCTCTTTAACTTTTGCATGGGTTGTATTCTGTAAGTAAACTCTTGCTTGCGCTCAGTGAAGTCCATTGACTAAAAGATATTTTATTTTATACATGTAGTAATGCTTCTGTGAATTATGTTTTACGGTTGGGTCACTTGTGCATTCTCTGATTAAATTGATTGAAGAATTTGTTGTTCATTTTTTTTTTTATTTTACAAGCTTTTTTGATAGATTATTGATAAGCTAAATAAATCTACTCACCAAGACTGGAATTCTAGAAAATGGATTTGACAACTATATCACCAGATTGATGACGTAAACGTAAGTCCAGATAGGAAATGTACTTTTGTTTTTGTATACTTTTATTTTCTGTATGTGGCCAACTTCTGTGTTGATCTTTACTGATCAGCAGAGTAAGCAGAGTAAAAATTTTGTCTACGTAGCCATATTTACATATAAAAATGTCTACATAAAAACAGCTCAGTTAACAAGAACAAGATTGTGCCCATGTGCCGTTAATCGCCAGTTAAAATCAAACTTGGCCCCTTAATATTAGCTTCAACGAAAAGTACGGTCAGGCCCGTTTATAAACTCGGATTTAAGTCCAAATTTCAGTTAAGTCGACATGACCAGCTTAGTCCCGCAATTCTCCATTGTCTGGGTAAGTAGAAATCCTGATAAGTGAAAGCATTTTCTTAGGTCCCTGCGACGTCTACTCATTCAGACTATTTCTTCCAGTATTTATTGAAAACCCAGTATGTATTGAAAACTATTAGAATTTCATAACACTCAAAATTCACATGCAACTTCAGTTTAATACGCAACAAAACATGTTTTTCTCTACATTTATTTCACTGTCAATGGCGATTAGTCAAACAGACCTGGGGAAAGAAAATAAATAGTTACAGTATGTTTTACATGTCCTGGTGCCATAAATCTTTCGTAAAACTTACATTAACTATACAATATACAGTGCAGCCAAGCATTTGGTAATGGCTCTAGTTCCTCTGCTGTGAACTTTGAAGGCCGTGGGTTTGTCTTAGACATCTGGATAAGCTTTTCTAAAGCACCATGCAGCCCAATCGGCACGCAAGTGAAGATTTTATCTACTATGACCATTAGTAATAAAAAAAAAATGGGCCGCTCAATTTCATTCCTTTCCATATCATGGCCAGTTGACTCATTTAAAAACAAAATAGTATATTTAAAAGTGTTACTGGGTTAGTATACACATGAATAAAGCGTGTTTTAGATTATCTGAAATCATAAAACGTTGCGAAATAAGCTTGTTTCATTTAATTATGAGATATCACATGGGAGCATCGCATGCAGTCCACCAATCATTGGCAGAAAGATCCCTCGTTGACGAGTACGAGTTTAAATTGGTTCCATCTCTATACAATTTTAGG